TCGTAACGTTTCAATATACGTATTGCCAATTGTAGTCGAGAATAATACACTTTTCAAGATTAATTTATTTCAATGTATATAATGTAAGGAAGGACACGATTTCTTTTGATGTTATAATTCAATACAGCTGTAGAAAACGCGTAATTTAAGCGGTGAAAGATATATACATACATATATATAGGTTTCCCCCGCTGTCAAAAAGCGTTCCTATGAAATCTTTCATAAGCCGAAATGATATAAAGTGAAGGAAGCAATTACCATGGGAAACATTTTTTTCGTAAAAGCAAAAATTTTTTTTGGATTTCTTTTGGTTGGCGAAAATAGGCACTAATGTAGGACATGTAGAACTTTCGTAAAAGCAAAGTGACGTAAAGCAAACTTTCGAAAAGCGAGGGATACCTCTACATACATATATTTATATACATATATGTATATAGGGTAAACTCGGGTAAGATGGCTATAAAGGAAAGATGGCCAACCCATGTTTATTCGATACTAGATGATGAATTAGATTGATAGAACATGGACCATGTTTCCTCTATGGCTTTCTTATTCGAGTTTCCCTTATTGTATTACGTATATTATATAAATATATATGTACATATATACACATACATATGCATATATAAATATATATACATGTATACATTATATATATATATATATATATAATGTATACATGTATATATATTTATATAGAATATTGTTACAAATATGTAGATTCAAAAAGAGAACAGAGCAGCTCAAGTTAAGCCGCACTCGCTTTTCGAGGAAGGGTCGACGATACTATAGTTTTTCACAAGCATCGCTTTTGCCATCATCAAGGGACTCATGTGGTGGCAGGTTGACGTGCCTGCAGGTTCTGTGTGGAAACTGCACGCCATATAAATGGATTAAAAGAATTTGACGAGAGATTCCATTCTATAAAACTGATATTCTAACGCACAAAAGAAACAGAAATTATTAAAAAGAAGTTTGAGTTTTATTTCACTTTTTTTTATTCTCAACAAACTGATGCTAGTTTATATTTTTCATAAACGATTAAAGGTAAATTCCAATTTCTGCGAAATTAGAAAACATAGGCTATGATTAAGCGCCCATTGTGAAACCTCTGTGGAATAA